CCCCCCCCCCATCGGTGGAGCGATCGCGATCCGCGGTGGCCACCTACGCACGCACGCACGTACGCACGCACGCACGCACGCACGCAACCCTACCAACCAACCCCCTTTTGGCACGCAGGCATGCAGCCAGCCACGCGCCTAGCTGAGCCCCCCTGGTCTCCCTGCAGATGCGGCGCAGACAGACCTCTGCTGCGAGATGTTGAGTCGGCGCGCGCCGGCCTCATCTGCTGCCACAGTCACCAGCAGCATGCAGACGCGGCGTGCGTGGTGCGCGGTGCGCGGTGCACGGTGCGCGGTGTGGCGGTGCGGCTGCATGGCTGGTTCTTAACGACGCTCGAGCGCAGTGACACGCACTCATGGCTGCGATCGAACATCGTCTTGCATTGTGATTGGCCATTACGACAAGCAGGCTACACACCACGGTAGCCCAACACCGTTCTCGTTTCACAATCGAGCAGCATCCGGCAATCAATTCATCCAATTACAAAGAGTAGTACATGCGCCTTGGGGCGCATCGACAAAATCTCTCCCAGATGCAAGCGGAGGGGGAGGGAAAGGCAAGTGGCGAGCAAAGCAAAGATCTAAATATCCACGATTGGCGCATCGTGCCTTCCATTGGAGGTGCTCGCCTCTACTGCTGCAGCGGCGGTGGTGGCAGCGGCAGCGGCCTCCGCTTCCACAGAGACGACGGCGGAAGACACCCCTCTCGCATCCTCGTCTGCTTCCGAGATGACGGGAGGCGTAGGCGCATGGGTCGGTGTGATGCCCTCTTCTGCACTTTGCTGATCCGGCTGCTGGTTCACGTCGGTGACCACTGCTAATGGCGCTTCGCCTCCTCTGTCGATGCCCAGCGCACCATTCATCTGTGCCGTCGATTGACGCGGCGTGGAGGAGGATGAGGTCCGACTCGTCTCTGCTGCTCCGTCTAGCGTCCGCGCCGCACTAGCCAATGGCGAATCATCCGAAGCGCCATCATCCGTTCGCGTCCGCGATCGGTCCTTGGCATCTGCCACTCTTCTCTTGCGCTCCGTCTCGCTCTCCTCCGTCATGAGCGGTATTCTGAGAGCAGAGGAGAGGCCAGTCTTTTTGAAGAATAGGTAAAGGCTTCGAAGCAGCTCTGGTGCCAATGCAGGTCGACTCAGAAGTTCGACAGCAAGGGGATAAAATATGCTGGCGTAGTGCGGAAAGACGCTGTCCTCGAGCGTGTCGCTGAAGCTGTCTAGTCCGGTAAATACTTCCGCCACCACCGGCGTCCAAGCTGCAATGTTTCGCGCCTGCGTCTCCGTGTCTAGCGGCAGATATGCATTGATAATGTCCTGACCGAGCGGGACGAGCGTCTGCCGAACGCTGGCTCGCATATCGCGGTGCGATGGCCGATCATCGTTGTGCATTCTATTCAGCACGCTGACGAGCGTCGCTGCCGAACTGCTCTCTTGCTTGAGCAGGTTGGGCAATTGCTTCATGAAGCCGACTTTCCATAGGGCCATTCGAAGCTCCTTGTCGGCATTGAAGCGACGCGAGAATCGATAGCTGTCATCGAGAACGTGCGTAAGTCGCAAGAGCTGAGCGGGCGGCATGACCTCGTAAACCGGGCCCTTTTGCAAGAGCTCGTGCGTCGTCTCGATCAAGAGCAACTGAAGGACGCATTTGACAATGATCTGCTTAAATGCACGGCGACGCTGCGACTGCGTCATGAGCGGTGCCGGCGGCGCGTCAGCTGGAGGAGAGATGACTGGAGCATTTGGCGAAAGAGGCGTCGCTGTGAGGCCATTGGTCGCGGTAGCTGAAGGTGCAAGCTCGGAGCGCGCCGATGTCGGACTTGTGATGGTCTCTTCTATCCTCAGCGAGCGCTCAAACAGCTGATGCGCCGTAGTCGTGCGAAAGAGCTGCACAAACGTGTCGACTACTTGCGACCACCTGTCGGGGCTGAACTTGCGCACGTTCTTCTCCAGTAGTTGCTGCAAGCAAGACGTTCCGATGCGTGCGAGCGTGTCGTTCTCTGAAAGCGGTGCGTTGCTTTATCAGCTAAATACCCCTGCACAAGGTCCCCGCAAATGTCTCACCTTGACAAATGCAAGCGCAGAGCAGATCCAGCAAGCCGGGCAGCAAACGTTCCAACGTCTCAAAGTAGAAGGTCCACAAATCGATGAGGTTTCTGAGCGCTTGAATCATTGTTGTCGATAGCCACACGCTCATATCCTCTTGCGTGCTGAATCGAGTGACGTCGGATCTGGATCGCAACACTGCAAAGATGGGGAAGAGGACCTCTTTGCAGACAGTGTCCCAAAAGTCTGGCCTAAAGGTGGAGCCGTACTGCTTGAGGATCTCAAAGAGCGCATCCAGAGCCACTCGGCGCACTTCGAGATCGTCGCCGTTCATGATGACGTCGTAGAAGCTAAAGAGGGCTGGGAACCAGAAGCGAATCATCGGGTCGTCCGACATGGGCTGCGTTGCAGCAGGTCCTGGATCCGCCTCGGCGTCGATCGGGCATTCGGCTGCACCAAGCATCATGGGCACGACGGCTCGGAGCATGGACACGCTTTGAAGCGCCAGCCTTTGGGCATGCGTTGCCTTTGCAAAGTCCGTCAAGCACACGGTTCTGTGGTGTGGCGAGGAGGAGTCGTAAGTCACCGGAACACGACACAACGACGGGCGCACCACTCACAAATCAGCAAATGCTCCCGCGGAAATGATGGCACCAAAGTGCTCCTGATTCAGTTGCCGGACGAGCTCAAAGGCATACGTCGCCACGCGCTCGGACGCTTTGGAGGCAGCGCCGAGCACGCCAAACAGGGTCCGCCAACCAGACCGCATATTGTGTATGCGGCTAGCGATCATCTGCTGCAAGCACTGCAAGACCATCTCTTTCGCTTCGGAAGATGCGTTATTCCGCATCGTGTACTCAAAGGGCTTCAAGAAATCCTTTTGGACTGCGAGAGGGCAAAGAGGACCCGCTTCTTCAGCCAAGTGTGACCTTTATCGCATCTCGATCGCTCGCTCGCACTCACATTTAAAGTTTTGCAATTCCTCCTTCTCCAGGAACCTAGCCGACAATTGTCGCAGCGAATCCAGACCAAACGCGGATACTCTAGGATTGGGATGGACGCAGACCTGATTAAAGTGTTCGCCCAAGATTGCCCAGATGTTGGACCACTCCAAACGGATCCTGCTCATGTTGTAGTAAGAAATCTCGACGAGCTTTTGCAGCGAGAACAAGCGCGGATTGTCGCTCATGCCGCTCGATTGAATCTCTTCCCACGACACGTCCGACAGGCTCTGCACAAAGTCCACAATGGCCGTGCCTGAGAGGTGCGGCGTAGAGGAAAAGACCATGTCGGCAGCAATGGTCACTTCCCTCGACGCACCAGCCTGCACGACATCGTCCGTGGGCAGAGCAGCTCGAGGAGTAGTGCTCGCCGCGCGCGCCGCAGTCGCGCTGGCCCTTCTTCCCAGCTCCGGCAGCTGGCGCTCGTCCACACCTCCGCTGATAAGCTGAAAGCGCTCAAGCTGCGATACGCACGTGAGGAGCTCTCTCCAGCTTCCGTGCAGGTAATTGCCCTCGGTCTGAGCTACGCCCAACAGTGCCTTGATTGCTTCCACATTTTTGCTCTTCATCTCGCCCAGATTGTTTAAAAAGGTGAACTTGGCAAGCGTCGTGACGAACGCGTTGCGTTCCAACTCCAGGCCAAAGAGGCTGACGATGCGGATAGCGTCTCTGAATCCTTCGAGGCACACAGAGACCGTATCCGCATCGTCGCTCTCCTGCATAGGACCGCTGATACCCGTCAAGAAGGCCATCCAAGCCACTTCGAACATGGGCCGCACATGCTCAAAGTGCGAAGCGGAGAAGAATTGTTCCGCAGCTGCTCGCTGATCAGGATGCACGCGACGCTGCGTGCGCACCATGGTTCTGAACAGCGCTTCCGTCTTGTTGGCCATGTCCTCACTCTGCAGCACGTACGCCTCTCGCTGCAGGTCTCTGCCAACTCCAGCGATGGCATTTGCCAAACCGCCGCCAATCGCGCCAGGCGGCAGAGCCGAAGCCAGCACCTCGTCCTTCATCTTGATCTCGTTGTTCTGAATCTCGTCGTAGACGCCCTTGACGTACTCTTCCGGCAAGCTCTTGCCATCATCGATGCCCGCATTGTTCTTGAGAAAGTCTTGCAGGCTCATGCGGTGCTTGATCTGCCGACTGTGGGCGTCCGTGTTGAGCATGATGACAGAGTAGGCGAATATGTAGGCAGTGTCTGTAGGCGCAGCAGCTCCAACTGTGAGCTTTGTCGAATGCAGCGCGAGCAGCACGCGCCAATCACGACTCACCGGCGTTTGCGAACATTGTGGGGTTTCCCGCAACGTAGCGTTCTGCAAACTTGAGCATGTACCTGTCGATCTTTTGCGATTCGCCAGGCAGCCTGAAAGCCTGCAGAAATCTCCTGAGGGCGTCGGTGAAGGGCATATTGCTAAAGTTCAAGAGGTCTACAAAGGCATGCATGATGGCAATGTTTTCCGCATCGCCTTCGCCGAGGTACTCTCCGATCTGCGCCTTGTTCAGTCCATCTGTAAAGAGCAAAAAGTGGGCAACGTATTTGGGCTCGCGGGCGCGGATGAAGCCTTGCTGCACGAGATACTCGATACCGCGCTTGGGCTTGAAGTTGAACTTTCTAATGCCTTCCAAGAGCGACGTCTTGCGAGCCTTTGCGCTCTCGAATCGATTGGGATCATCGACGTTCTGGTCTGGCGTAGTGGTGCCTGTAGCAGTGGCTGCACTGCCGCTACCGAGGATGGGTGTAGCTGCTCCGCTCTCGATGCCCGTATTGTGACGCGCCGCGTCACTGCGGTGGTCCGCAGGACCTTCTTGACCTCGGACGTCTTCGCTGCCTCGGGGAGAGTGCGTTCGTGTGCCGTCTAGACTGCCTGCCTGCTGCGGCAGACTGGCTCGAGATGACCATACCACAAGGGATCGCAGGACGGAGCAGAGGCAGTCAAGACTTTGCTTCTTGAGGCGCATCTCCACTTGTTGGCCCGGGCCAAGGCTGTCTAGAGCTGCGCTGGCTGTGGTGGAGCCGCTCAAAGACGATGGCGCGCTCGGTGCGCCCAAAGTCGAAGGCTTTTGAGCAGCACCGGTCGACGACGAAGAAGCACCTGCAGGATCGCCAGAGAGTTGCGATCCGGGCGCCAAATGCGTCTGAGAAATCTTGCTGACGATGTTCATCAAGCGCTCATAGATGTTGTCCAACGCGGACCGGTCGCAATCATAGTTGAGATACAGCTCCACGAGGGCTTGCGGGTCTTGGCAGAGCCGTATAAGCACGCCGAGCAGAATGCTCTTTTGCTTCGACGTCGAGTTGCGCATCTCCAGGATGGGAAGAAAGATTTCATTTAGCAGCACCTCGATTTCCCTCTTTAAGCGCGTCCGCATGCCGCTGAGCACGAGCCAGAATATCTCGCAAGAAAGCTCAAACACCTGGTTGACCGAAGAGACGGCATTGCGACTCAGACTGAGGCAGAGGTACTGCTTGACAGCGTGCACGAACTGCGTCTGCTCGCCCGTGGAGGCGCTGTGGATGACGATGCTGGGATCAGTAAAGAGGGTCATGTGGGATTTGAGGATGGTGAGGATGAGGTGCAAGCTGAGCAGCTTGGATCGCATAGCGTGCGACTTGAGATCCCTCTCGCTGTGCAAGCAAAGTGGAAATGTATGCGTGATCAAAAGTGAGCCTCGGCGCGGGGTGGAACTGAACCGCCTCGGCGCGGGGTGTTGGAGAAATCGAATCGCCTCGACACGGAAAGTCAGAGGAAGCGCCTCTCCACTCACCTCTCCGCTCCGAGCGGCTTCATGCTGAGCTTGCATAGCGCACGCAAAACCAAGAATGCGTCCTTGACGAACAGTTCCGCTTGCGTAATGTGAGCCTGCTGCAACAAGCTGGCGCCCGTGTCGCGTTCCGATGCGCCTTCAAAGGAAGCGCGAGCTTCGAGGGCTTGCAGCGTGACCCTCTCTTCTTGCTGCTCTGTCGAATGCGAATCGTCTCTTGCATTCTGCGCCTTGCTGCTCTCCTCTTCTTCCAGATTCACCTCTTCTTCATCCTCGTTCGACTTGTCCTGCGCTTCTGCGCCATCTTCCAAAGAATTCAGCACTTCCTGACCCGGCCCGCTCAGAGGCGCCGAGGGCGTCTTGACGGCTCTAGGCGGACTGAGCAGATGCTCGGCAGATCCAGAAGGAGCGATGCTGCTGCTGCTGCTGCTGCTGCTGCTGCTGCCGTCGCCCGATTTGGACTCGTGAGCCCTGGGCACCCTGCCAAAGACGTGGTGCACCATTTGCGTGAGCACGCCCTGCGCGACGGCCTGGGTAGGAGCAGTCTTGGATAGCAGAAAGATGTTGTAAGTGGTGCGCACAGCTTTGAGCAGGCTGCTCTGATGCACGTGCACGCTGGTGGACAGGACGATGGAGAGCAAAGCCTTGACGATTTGCAGCTGAGCCTTTTCGTCCAGACCATCGTGAAACGCGTCGCACACTGTGCTGGTCACCGCATCCGCCAGCGCTTCCTCTCCCTCCACCACCACTGCGGGCACATCCTCTGCAAAGAAGCTGTACGACACCAGCTTGGCCACACAGTCCAGCGCTGTGATGGTCAAGCTGGTGCTCCTCGTCTGCATCGCCAATCGAAGCGGCTCAAAGACGATGCGCGGGTCCAGCTCTGCCCCTGCACTGCCCGGCGCTGAGGAGGAGGAAGCTGCTTTGACCATTTCCAACGCGCGAGTCGACGCTTCCTTGAGCGCCTTGGATGGGCCTTTGGATCCTTTGGCCTCCTTGGAAGCAGAGATGGTGTCGAGGGCAGTGATGACGAACACTGCGCTGCCCTTGTTCAGCGATGACATGGAAGATCGAGAGTGCACGGTGGTGGTGGTGGTGGTGGCGGTGGTGGAAGCGGTTGTGCTGGCCACTGAAGATCTCCGAGACATTTCGCTGCCATCCACCAGAGTGGGAGGAGCAGAGGCGGAGCTTGGCGCACCGCTCCCGCTCTCTAAAAGCGGCGGATCCTTTGCAGGAGGCGGGACGGGGGAAGCGTCGTGCGGCAAAGGTGCGTTGGGCTTTGACAGCTCAGCAGCCGTCGCTTCATCCTCTGCGGGCGCAGTGGCGGCCTTTGTTTGAGATGCTTGCGAGTCTCTTCTGCTGATGCCGTTCGGCTCGGCCACGGATGATGTGCTGGGTCGCGAGATGGAAATGTCGGGCACTTGAACGCGCTCCACCGCTTTCCCTTGCTCACGCGCATCCTGCGATGGTGATGCCGCCGCTTCAGCTTGCCGTTGCGTTTGCTCCTGCTGCTCCTGCTGCTCCTGCTGCTGCTCTTCCTCTGCCTCTGCCTCTTGCTGCGCACGTTGTAGCTGTTGACTTACTCCTGCCTGTTGGGGCAAAGTAGGAACATCGACCATCACCTCGGGCGCGACGACTGGCAAGACCGATGTGCCAGAGGTGGGCAGTCCAGGCTTGTCCTGCGATTCCGACATGACCGGCGCCCCCTTCTGCTCGACGTAGATGGGGTCAAGGGTGTGTAGAGCGCACTGCTGCCTCTCTCTCTGCACTAGAGTCGTCGTGAATGCAACGCGCGTCGTATGGCAAGAAGCACAATGCAGGAGGCTTGCTGCTGGTCGTGAATGCGAATGCGTGTCCACTTGTGTCGAGGCGCACATATGATGTGTCTAGCGAGATTGAGTGTGGGTGCGCCAAGTGCAGACCGCAGACCGCAGTGACGAAGCAGGAGGCTTGGATCGCGATTCGCGATGGCGTGCCGATCCAAGATCTCAAAATTCCACAGCCGGCAACACGCGCGCACCACACTGACGCAGCTGCGCGGCATGGCATGGCATGGCGTGCGTGCGTGCGTGCGTGCGCGCGTGCGTGCGCGTGTGTGCTCGTGCGTGTGTGTGATGGCCATACAGCAGCAGCAAGCAGCAGCAAGCAGCAGCAGCAGCAAGCATCAAATTCGACGACGACCGCAAGAATTCCAACACGAGTCACGTGAGTGTACCAATAAGCAAACGCACGAGCCACGAGAAGGGGACGAGACTCAAACTGCAGACAGATTCGCTCGCTTCCTGCGCAAGAATGAGTTCGTGAGCACGTACAGTAGAATACGCGCACGGCGTACGGCGCACGGCGCACGGTGCATTCACCTGTGGAGTGCGACTATTTCCACATCAAACCTCGCGCAGTCTGCACAACAAACTTGCAGGTTTTGTGCAAGTTTGGGACGCGTAGTCTGCAGCTCACGCGACGTGTTATGGCAGAATTTACTTGGAGATGCGTGCGTTCAATTTTTGGAGACAACGTCAGATATGGATGTACCGCAATTTTGTTGTACAGCCAAATGAGCTGTATTTCAAAAATTGCATTTATACAGCACTATTTGCCATATTGCGCGCGCATGCAAGCGCATGCACATTGTAAGCAAGCCAAATACAAAGTGCTCTTGCAGATTAGATTTTTGACTGGGCGCGCTTGCAGTGTAAATGCAGCATATTACTGCACGCCCGCGCATCAAGAGCTTTTGTACTTGGCTTGATTACAACGCATGCAAGGGGAATTAGAAATGTGATTTGCAGTTTCAAACCCTGTATGCTGAGATTCAAAGCGTTCAAACAAGTATAGATATGAGTGGTTTGCGGTGATGGTGGTAGGCTGCACAGTTGAACTTGCAGTTTTACTGCTAGTTTCCAAACTCGCAGTCTAACTGCAAGTTTGTTGTGCAGACTGCGCGAGGTTTGATGTGGAAATAGTCGCACTCTTCACCTGTGCTGAATGCCCCGAACGCGCGCTTACCCCGGTTCTGCGCGCGTGCACGACCGCGGGTGGGCCCGGGGGGGCTTTGAGGCTTTCCCTGCGCTGCGCTCTCGTACAGCGAGTCGAGACTACAGGTATACAGGTATGGTACAGCTCTCATCAGCCACGCGGGTCAGTCTCGAGACTCGAGAGACTCATTCTCGACTGACTGACCATCCATCCATCCATCCATCCACGGACCGTCCTGTCCTGTCCTGTCATGTGCACCTGCATGGCGCTGACCTGGAATGCTCCGACAAGCCGTCTTGTGCGAGCATGTCTTCATCCTTCCGCCAAAGCCGAGCATCGAGCATCGAGCATCGCTCAAGGGGCAGAGCAGAGCGCGCATTCTCTCACTTCGTGCCGTCTTGCTAATGTGCATGTGCTGTAACGAGTCAAGTTTCTCATTGGCTCTGCGCTTGAAGCCCATCTTATCAGGCCTCAAAGGTCTGGCGAGCGACGCTTAGGTAGACATTCACAAGCGTCGCCTAGCCTTGCCTACATTCATGCGCCTTTACAACTCACAGACGCCGCTGGTGGTAGTGTACTCCTGCCCTTCGGCATCCGCAGTCACGCGTGCGCGCCCACCCACCGCCAGCCCCGCGGTTCACCTTGTTGACGGCAAATGAAACTTCCGTACGCGGTACCGCTGAACGGGCCAGAGGCCCATGCAACATCCGTTCGTCGACACACTCGGCACACGCATCACAAGGTTTCGGCCGTGTTTGCAAAGGAAAAAGAGGGACATGGCGCAACACGCAGTGTTCGCGACAGCGGCAAGGGTTACCCGCAAGAGGCGGATGCGTCGGGATCAACCCGATTTCCGCGGTCCCATGGGGCGCCCCTTGCCGCATGCATGCCCTGATTGCCATTCCGAAACCGTGGACAAAAGATCGAAGCCGTGCGTGGGAACTTGGAGGCGGATACATGATGTGTGGGATGCGAGTTGCTACAGGGAAAGTGTAGAGTGAGCAGCGAATAGAATCCAGTTCCTCTGTTGCTCACATCAGCTCGTGTGTGGTGAATTGGGTGACTGTGGATGTGCGCGAAGCGAGCCAATGATCGACATTTTACATGCCAGCAATCATCCTGAACAGGGGAGTGGCGTTGTTGCCGTTGGACAGGCGGTTGACCTCCGACACACCCTGCAGGTTCTTCATCGCTCCAAAGGGTGCGTATCCCTTGACGTAGTCTTGCTTGTCCATCCAGCTCACAATCTGTTGCTGGAACGACCACACTTGGTCCTTGGAGCATTGAGCGCCACCGTTAAAGTTCTGCAGTGCGAATAAAACGTTAGCGCCGCGCTCTAGACGCGTGTTCTCAACACGCACGCCCGAGCACTCACCTGGCAAGCGTATTCAGTGATCCAGACTGGCTTGTTGTAGCTCTTGTACCAGTCCTCGATGTACTCTTGCATCTTGGTCGCGCTGACATCGTAGTAGTGGAGCGAGATGGCGTCGAGGGCTTCAAAGACGTCAGGGCAGACCTTTTTGAATTGGTCGTACCAGTCCTTGCCGTTGGGAGCAGAGGTGGTGGAAGGACCGATGAGGTAGTAGCCGTGCTTCTTCTTGAGGTCCAGCTGGTATTGGCGCATCAAGCTGCAAGTGTCGCTGGGGTTCATGTCGGCTTGACCAGATTGATTGACCTCGTTGGGACCCATGGTGCACTTGTCACCGTTGTCGCCGCCTTCGGGGTTGTCCGTGACCTTGGACTTGTACTCGCCAAGCTTGGCTCCAGCTCCAGCTCGTCCCCACAGCATGGAGCAGAACAGCGTGTCGCCCATGTCTGTGCCCATCTTGGTGGGTTGCCAGGTGTAGGCCCAGTTGACGTTGCCAATCTTGAAGTTGTTAAAGTCCATGCTGTTACCGTTGGGCCAGCAAAGACCAGCCTTGCCCTTGAGTCCCTTGGGCTTGGTGCCAGAGACGGGAGCATCCTTTTGAGAAGTCTCGTTGGAAGTGTTGCTGGCATCGTTGGAGCCTGTGCTGCCGCTCTTGGACTTTTTGCTGCTCTTGTGACCCGAAGCGTATTTGGAGGCGCCCGTGGTAGCGCACTTCTTGCTGCGACGAGCGTGGCGCGCAACAGCGTGAGGCCCATTGTGGATGGCGTTGTGCTCAGACGCGGAAGCGACGACGAGCGCAGCGTTGGCCACGATGGCTAGGATGAGCATGTGAACGAACTGCATGTCGAATGTGTGTTCGCGTAGGTGGATGGAATGTGTGTGTGTGTGTGTGTATGCGCGCAAGTTGGAATGGGATGGGAGAATCAAGAGATTGCGTACAGAACGATTGTGTTGGCTTGAGAAGCTTCGATGGGACGTGCCGAGGACGTGCGACGATGGGCTTCGGGGTGATGCGAGTTGTTGATGCCTTGTAGTCGAGGTGACGTGGGTGCGGGAAGCAGCACGGAGAGAAATGGCTTGGAGAGGCAGAGAAGGGTTGAGAAGAGTGGTGTGCGGAGTGAAGAATCGCAAGAGAAAGTCAGATCAGGACGTCGAGCCTTGAAGAGCTGTCTTTTGGATTGAAAGGCGAGGATCGTGGGTGAGGTTGGGTGTTGAGAGGGTGAAGGATCGCGCTGGAGGGGGGAGATTTGGGTGGGAAACTGACAAGGCGAGCGAACGAGCAAGCTCGATGGGCAGGGCGGATGCAGCCAGCCAGCGCCCGGCGCGGCATGCAAGCTTCGGCACACCTACGCTCTCTTTCTCTTCCATACCGATCAAGCTGTCGCATGCTGGCGCTTTGCATCCTTTTTGCGCTCTGCATCCGACCTCATGCTGCGATGCGCGGTCTAGCATCATGCAACTGTATGCGCTCGCGCGAGGACGCTGGAGCGGTCGGTGCGTGTTGAGAGTGCTTTCGGACAGACGTTCATAGGGCTCCTGCTGCATGACTTGTATGCACGGTTTGCGTGCGTCTGACCCTACCCGCCGAGTGAACACCATGCGACCATGCAGCAGCGGGCCTCATGCGGCATCGCCTCGAGATGGAGCGACCACGCATGTAATGCACGCAGCGGCATCGGCTGGTGCTTGGCTGCGATCGAGCTCGCTTCTTTGACCTGGATGCAGGGGGTGAGCAGCAGCAAAGAGTGTGTTGGCTGACACCACATGCAGGCGGCTGGTGATTCAGTCAGAATTGACTTGCGGGCTTCAACGTGCGTCCGACGCCCAGCAGGTTTCATGCAGGATGCGTCAAAGGGGTGAGAGGGGTCGAATGCCTTTTGTCCCTCGCGCGTGCCGCTGAACTGTTTGTGTGCGATGCGCAGCTGAGACACCGCAAGTAGTGAGCACAGTATGTAGGCAATCCGCAACGGTAGAGAGGTTCACATACAACACGTATAGTTTGGTGTGCGCGCTGCGCGGACGCAGCACTTTGCCGAGCTGATAGCGTCCGCGCCTGTTCGTCGCCGGCGGATGATGGATGACCTGGCACGTACGCTATCGACAGCACCGCAGAGGATGGCCTGAAATAGACCCGCGAGCATCCATTTTTGGATCCGCTCGTTGAGTCAGGGCGGACTGTCAGGGGCAACGAATGTTACGACACGATGCAGACAAGTTGAGGGGGGGGCCGCGCGCGATCTTGGACCTCAAAGTCATCAACTCAGGACTCTGACTGTCTCGTGCTGCTCGGCGATCATCAGAGGCAAGGATCGAGCGCGGGCGCGCGCGCGTGTGGATCGAATGATGGAAAATCTGGGCCAAATGCGAGAGGTCTTTAACGCGCGCACGAGGTCTGTTTCTTGGAGTCAAATTCAAAGATTCAAATCAAAGCTTCCCGCGCGCCGTGTCAAAGCTTCCCGCGCGCCGTGTCAGAGCTTCCCGCCGCGTGCTGCATGCTGGCAATCAATTCGAATCGAATTTCAAACTCTGCATCAGGCACAACTGTCGCCCGCGCCATGCTGCTGTGGTGCTCCCGCGCGCGCCCTCGAATTCGTGACGCCCCTGATGCGTGCATTTGCGATCACACCCTTGTCCCACAGGTGCTGATTGATGCTGATGCGCCGCCGAAACGCGCGCGTGATGCTTGATGGTGCCGCGCGATCGAGGTGCACCTCTCTCGGACTCCAAAGCTACGGTTGTAGCTGCTGATGTTGTGCCGCAAAGATGCATACAGGCATCAACGTTGCGTGTGCCGGTTGCCCGCCGCTCAAGGGGGGCGTAAAGCTATCTACAACGCTCATGTCTGATCCGCAGCGACAGGGGAGCGTCCATCTCGCGTTGCCCTGCTCTCGACCATCAAGCTTGGCGAGATGCTGCTCATCGCGGTCACTTGATTGCAGTGTCCATGCTGCATGCCCGTCGATATGCACTTGGGCGCAAGATCCACGAGGTTGTGGTGAGATGCACAGCGTGTCCAGGTGTATACGCACAAAGGCGCCGTCGCGATAGCGGCCATGCACGGCCCATGACACAAGCATGGCCCATCACGACCTCTGCTCTTGCAAATATATGTGCGCAGCAGTCGCGCCGAGCTGGTGAAGAGCACCAATTCATCCAACAGTCACGAGTCACGAGTTGCCGCTGCTATATGCGTCTGAGCAAGAGACGGGCTCTTATACAGACAGAGTGCTATGCATACCGCTCCCATAAAGTCCGCCAGCACGCTCGCACGGTTCTCCTCGTGCAAGTTCAACCTTCACAGTCAAAAGTCTGCGTCTGCGTCGCCAGGACAAAGCGCGAGGCCGTCGACTGCGCGTTGTCCGCAGCAACCCACTCGAAAGCGGCGGCGGCGAGGTGGAGCGCAAGTGTTCTGCCACCCACGATCGCATCAAAGTTTCAAGATGCTGCCCGCATCGATCGTCACTTGCGAGGGCGCCCGCCGCGAAAGCGGCAATTAAGGAGATTGTGATTCACATTGCAAAAGAAAAGGGGCCGAGGAGGGTAATGCGCGTGCGTACACACAACGTCCGGCCTGCCGAGCTCGGCGCGCTGAATCCTCCATTGGCAGGAGAGTGTGAGCGGGCGGCACCTTTCGAAGCGCCCTGCTTCAGATGGGGCAACAGACGGCGAGCAACCGCATTGCATTGCCGCAGCTATCATCCGCCGCCAGATAGGCGTTGCGACGTGCAGGGGGGCGAATCGCTGTGGGCGTCGAGCGGGCGTCGAGCGGGCGGACGCGTAGGTATTCATTCGCATGTGTCAGCATCAGCAGCTGATAAGCGAGTGTGAGTTGCGAACGGGCAATGATCGCTGTTGCCCAACTTGGTGTCCGAACTCGTAACTGCAATTTGGTGGCGAGTCATCGTATCGCTCTGTCCGAGTCCTGCATC